GCTATCACTGCTGCCACTGCTACCACTGCTACTACTGCTGCAGCTACTACGACTGCTACTTCTGCTACTGTTGCTACTACTGCTACTACTGCTACTACCACGACTACTGCTACTACTGTTACTACAGCTATTTCCGTTACTACAGCTACTGCTGCTAAGTGCTTCTGCCATTGCGACTTTTACCACTACGACGACGACGACGACGACGACCACGAAAGCGACGACGACTGGCAGTCTGAGCATCGTCAGGGCTGCTGGCACTTGCGATTTTAACTCTGCCCTAATGGTTGCTACTACCACTATGTTCATGATTGCGACAGTTGTGACAAAACAGCTCCAGCATTAAACCTTTGCTGCAACTGTTGTCACTGCCAGTATCATTACTGCCATCGCTGTTGACTTGGATATGGGCTGTCTTGTCGCTGCGTATCTATTTCTAGCACCCTCACCATGAGTCTCACCGACGGGTATTGCTGCATAGGCGTGAAGTTAGACTCCAAGCTTGCCTTCAGGGCCAGCAGGAGGTATTCCAGGTTCACCGAAGCCGATGGCTCCAGCCTAAGTCCCAGGTATTGGACATGACACAGCAACTGTGCAGCCACCAACCCTCACTTTGTTTTTGTGAATCTGGAAAAATCGTTGACATCTCAGCCATTACTAGTAGCTGCTACTCCCACTCTTGCCTGACCGGACACCTGCTCCTGACAGGAGACTATACTCTTCCAACTTGCTTCTATATGCATACCGGGCAACGTTGCCGCAACACGAACGGTCTTCGAAGCCTCATCCAGTACCTCACATGAACACGAGGATCGTGACAAAAAATAATAATTATCAGAATTCTTGCTTAATTCTTGGGGCACCAGGCAACAAAGCCCCTGCGGAGCTGGGCGGCAGCCCATGCGCTCGGCCAGGCTGGCATTGGTCGGAACGCTGTCCATCCGCCAGCCGATGTTGTATTCCTTTCGCGCCATGATTTCTGTCTAGAAGGTGCGTCACAACTCTACGACACAGGAAAGACAAGTAGATGCCTGTCACGGATCTGGAAGTTAGTAGGGCTCAAACGAACCGACGTGTAGGGCAACTTAAATCCAAAGCTTGCCTTAGTGACTAGACAGTCGGGTTTTGCGCAATTAGTTGCTACATCTGGCGATGTAGCCTTTGCTTACTCTTCCACGCGGGGATGGAATCTCTGTTGCACTCCGCCAGGACAGCGTCGCTCCATACTTCGGAGAGCCCACTCTCATTAACATGGAAGCAGAGTCACCCGGCGGTTTTTCAGCTTCTTGTTGTTCTCCCGCGTAGTGCGATGCTCCTCCTCGCGCTGGGCTTCCTTCATGAGAACCTGCGGCAACTTTTCGGGAAAGCAGATTCTGCAGAAGTTTCTCTCATCCCCTCGGCTCACCACCAGCACACTGCCACATTCCCACCTGCCTGTGCCATGCACTCTGTGTGGACGCAAGTATCCTTGCCCTCGCGACCCTGGTAGGCAAACTCGCCAACAGGCAAGGAGCAACGGGTGCAGAGTGGGATTTCTTCCCGATCGGAATCCACCTGTCAAGCAGATATCTTCAGTTGTTGCAGACACTTCTTCTCCGAAACTACGCATTAACACTAGCAGCACAGATTGCCTAGATGCCAGTCTTGCCTCAGTGAGGTTGACCTTTGCCAGACGTTTCTTGGTCGGCCGGTAGCTCAGCGCAGCTTGCAGCGACTCGGCGGACAGCTTCTCCCCCTGCATTTTTCGACACTCTTATGCAGGATTCTGTCCCGCTCCGCTCTCTGTCCTTTCCTGAGGCGGCTTTCCGGTGAACCATGGGAACGCCTTCCGGCTGTAGCCTCCACAACACAGCTCGGCACATGTTGACTCCAAGAATCGAGCGCCCTGCGATACCCTGCGATGCCAGGGCGGCCCGGGCGCCTGGGTTGGAGCCATCCCGGCATTCCCCAAACTTCTCCGTGTACTGGCGGAAGGCTTCGCGCTCGTCCTCAGGGCCATGCTGGCCATCCGGACTTGCAGCTCAGTGGAGGATTGCGAGCTGGTCGAAACCCGCCTCCGTTGGCTCCTTCTCTGCCCCAGCCATGACGGGGGTGCTCTCTCCGGACCTGAGACTGAGATCACAGCCACGATAGGTCTGCAGTTTCCGTCTCAGCTGTGGCTCCATAACTGAGGTTATGACTCACTTGTGCCTGCAGCTGCCATCTCAACATCGCTTCCTGTCGAAGCCTCCTCGACCACAGCGACCTGTTCAGCATATCCTTCTGCGATGGAGCTCTGAAAGAACAACCATTTCTCCGCAAGTGCAGCAAACTGATGCCTCTGTCTTCTGTGATGCCCATTCTGAGAATCTGCCGCGGCGCTGAGCACGGTTTGGTTCCTCCTCGAGAGTGTTCTGCGCCTTCACCAGGAGGTCCTGGTCTCGAAAACTCGAAAATCTAGGTAACAAGTGCCTGCTGTGGTGTATGGAACCAGAATGCAAACACCCGGTGTTGCGTGGCATTCGTGTGTCAGCCCGGGACTATTGTCGTGACGAGTCACCCTCCCACGCAGCTTCATAGAAACCCAGCCCATGGCGGGGCCATCACCACGAACTAGCTCGTAACACAGGCGCCCATCCGTCGTCTCAACCTCCTCGCACGTGACTCTTATCCAGAATATCGAATACTGCAACAAGATCTGTGCACACACAGCGAGCTCCTTAACGACTGCACCAGTTGCCAACCGTGTTTCACAAAGTTCGTCCGAAAGAGCTGGGCCGGACCGGACCAGGACGCCTCCATGACCGGCACCGCCAACAACCTGCCCACACATGTCTACACGCATGGCCCTCCTTTCTCATGTCCTTCGATGAACGAGCGGCGCCGAGCAGGACGCGAACACGTGCGCCAGTGCACGAAATCTGCAGCTAGGAACTGGACAAGGGGTGGAGCTAAGGTTTTGTTTGCACCTGACAGCATGCTGGGTCGTCTCAGCTCATGTCGCGAAAGTTGCACAGATGCCTTTCCGCGAAGTTAATAGGAGCTTGGCAGCTTAGTTGTGTTGCATGCTGCACCGATCAACAAGCAAATTGCGCAGGCCGTGCGAATCGCGAATGTGGTGTAACAGCAGTGTAACAGCACGGGTATGCCGAGAACGAAGACGACATGACACACCTGGCCTCCCACAGTGCCATCTTGTCCGTAACGAAGCTGACTACAGGGCCACTCTGCTTTTGATGCTGCGGACGAACCCACACATGTTTCATTTTCAACTTTTGACTCTTGTCCACACGCTTGACACATGCCTTTTCAAAGCAACACAATCCAACAATCCCACTCATGGAAACCCTGATATCAATGTGACACTGCCAGGTTGTCCAGCATCAATGATTTATCAGACAAGCACCACTGACAAGCACCACTGAAGCTACGGATATCAAACAAGCCTCTGAAACCGAAACACGACCGAAAAACACGTTCGGTTTTGCTTGTTCCGGTGCGGAAATTCACTGAAGCAATAAGACCTACAGAACGAAAAACTGGCAACAAACCTGTGTTTTTTGCAAGCGCAAGGCCCAAGTTTGGTCCCATCTGCTCCGACCTATCAGAGGCGATTTAGGGGCTTGCGGCTAGGCTTATTAACAACGAGTGTCCAAGAGGCCAAGAGGCTCTTTTTCCGGCAAATTTTCGAGATCTTGCGGTAGAACGGAGTACTGTCCATCCATACTATGGCGTGCGAGGAATGTACTTGTCGTATTTCCGAAGCGCTTGGAATGGAGAAGAACTCGGGTGTGAGTGCAATGGTGGCGCATCAGAGCGGAGGTGATCTATTGAAATCTTCCACTAAGCGTGATTGAGCCCAATGTGTCTTGAGGCGGCCTACGCGATTCGAGCCTCTAGTGTGGCGATACGCTGCCGAAGGCATAAAAAGAGGCCAGTGTTTCCAATGACGAGAGGAGAAAGCCGAATCTGCTACATGTTGGAACATTGAGCGGCGGTGGGGTTGAGCACCCTGTGGAAACAAGAGGATTTGATTTCGAAGATCCTGCGCAAACATACTGAAGTGAGTTCAATTTGGTGGGCTGAGAGGGTGTTAAAAATGCACTTTCCATTGCATACATCAAGATACGCTGGACAAACGATCTGTAGATAAAGAGCTTCCAATTGGAGGGAAGATGTCCATGCTTCATCAAAGGAGAAGGTTATTCAAAGGCCTCCACAGCTGAAGAACTTCTTCACCGCATCCGAAAGATGCACTTGTAAATCATCATCTGGCGAAAGAAGATATAAGGGTTCAAAAGAGATGCGATTCGTTGAATTCAGGCGTAGATGATCACTCTTCGTAGTTGAGATACAGGCCCCGACGGACCCTTTTCCATTCAACTAAATGAAGGAGGCATTCCACTTGGTGAAAGAAGTTCGAGAGTAGGACTGTGTCGGCGGCATATTCCAAGTCCCACAACAGGGCACCTGGCACCTAGTCAACGCACCCAGGAATGAGGCCCTGTGTACTTTCATATTATTTTTCGACATCTTCGAAGAGGTGGGTTGCAACAAAGCTAAAAAGATGTGGCGACGATAGGGGACATCCTTGACGAAGGCCGCGTTTGAGTAGAGACCAATTTGCCATTTGTGTCAAGGAGATTAGCAGGGGTACGGCGAAAATCTTTGCGGAAGGAGCATTGTGCGCCGTTGCTGGAAAACGGAGCCATGGAAAACGTCCTGGACTTCTTGGGTCGTGAAACCGGTCTTATTCTAAAACTGTACGATACAGTCAAGCGTGGGGGGAGATCCACGGCTTTTGGAGAAACGGGGAGTTTGGGAAGGGTATGAATGAGTTCGACTCGGAACTTGTTTTGGGCATGGGAGTAAGAGAAAGCCATGCTTCAGAGGAGTAGCCCGACTCGGCGCGCCGTGCGCCAAAAAGAGAAGCGGCTAATGGAGCCGAATTCTAGGACGCCTTTTGTGGCAAGAGAGTCTGCTAGTTCATTGCCTAAGCGGGGCCGTAAAGGCGTTTTTTGCACACTTCTGCGGAACCTGGTTCAAAATGTAAATACTTGTGTTTCCTTACTTCGGGCCATTCCCTTTTCTCTGCAACTTAACGTGGAAATTTCCGTGATTTTTTGAAGACATCCGAAAACTACACCGGTATTTGTGGGGTTTTGGTAACTATGGCCCCTTCTTGTTGCTTCCGCTTCTGCCTAGCCTTGGGTCTGAGTAACATCTTTAAACACCGTAGTTGGACGACAGCATCCATGGTCCAACCATGATAACGTCCATGTTCTGATCAATTCTGGGAAAAGAGCATCCATGGTCCAAGCATGACGACGTCCATGGTTTACTCTGTTCCGAGAAGTTTCAAGCATGATGACGTCCACGGTCTGATCCGTTCTGAGAGGAGAGCATCCATGCCCCAACCATGAAGACGTTCATGGTGCAATCAGGTCTGAGCAGAGAGCATCCATGCCCCAATCGTGATGACGCCCATGGTCTGAGAGGTGGGGCACGTTCTCAGAATCCGTCTGGAGGCGCAATCAAACAAGCAGTCAAAAGGCTCTATCCCCTGTGTTGCTTGAGCCCCAAGCTTCGGGTAGGACATGTGCGTCGGTGGGGAAAGTGCGAACAGGAGAGTTCCCAACACGTGTCCTGCGATGGCTCCTCCGGGTCTTAGGCGACAACGCGGTCATCACGGCAAGAGCTGAACGCCACATATGGATTGCCCAGACAGCGCCAGCACATGGCACGCCTGCCGCTTCGCAAACGTGACAGTCTATTCAAACATCCACATTTAGCTTCACCTACCTACGGTAGTGCCATTGACCTCATCAAGGAACCGCTGCAGCTGGCGCTCAAGATCGCCTGCCGGAGCCACTCCTGGCAACTCTCGTACGTCCTTGTCGTGCTTCAAGTCCTCTTTGATGATTCGCCAGACCTCGTCGACGGAGACTGGAGCCTCCTCCTCGCGGCGCTCCTCCTCCCGGCCCTCCGCCCTTCTCTCCTCCAGCTCAGCCTCTGCCGCCGCTTGCTGGCTGAGAAGACGGGCTCGCTCATCACCGGCCATGCCAGCGCAGATGAGTTTTCATTTCCTTGCAAAACAAGTTTATTCCCTTTTGAAATAAATTAGCGCATGCACCGTTATTTACATGAGATCATGTGAAGTTTGTTTCTCTCGAAACATATATGCTTTCAGGGAGAGGTAAGTGGGACCTCCAAAGTTTTGTAGAGGTTGTGCGTCCCGCCCAAGTCCTCGTCGTTTCGCTGAGAAAGTGCTCACCATGTCGTTTCACCGGAAGTGTGCTCACTTTACGGGTGGAATGTGACACCAGGAACGTGCCTCGTCTTTTCACAATCGTTTATGTTTCAACTGTGCCCCTGGGCCCTAGCCCGGGCCAGCGTGGGCACTCGCATTGGGTTGCGACGTTTCACACGTGTCGTCGCCCGGTGTTGTGCCAAATCGGAAATCAGAGCAGATGCCTCACACGACGACAGCACAGCGTGAGGACGAATCATGTGGCCTTCCAAAGCATCTAAAACCTCTCCATGAAGTGATGGCGGTGAAGCGCAAAGTTGTATGATCTCGCCGTTTTTGTTTCAGACTCGGGTGCAGTTCTGCTTGCAAATCAAGACAAGTTTCATGATCGCCAAACGATTGCAACTTTAGGCAAGTGTCTAGCTTGCTCGAGCTGTCGTATCCCACTGCAGCAAGTTGTGCTCAGCTGCGGTCCCAGAAAGAGAGAGAGCGGCTGGGGGAGCAATCCTCCGGCCCACAGAGAGAGAGCCAAGAGAGAAGTGCCCCTCGTCCTGCACCGTCACTTCAGCTCCGCAGCATTCTCAGGCAGAACACACGGTGGAGGTATTATCGGATTGGCGGTATGGTGGTACTGCATGTCGGAAGCAGGCACGAGGCACTACTGCCGCTGCTCTCTTAGCACACGAACTGGGATGCGTGGTGAACTTGCACTTGCCATTCCTCGGCGCTCTCGGTCGCATCGTCCCGATGAGTGGATGAATGTGACCATGCGTGACCTGCCGTTTCTTTCACCTCCGCGTGCTCAGCCTGGTTGCTGGAGCCGTGAGACAGGCCTCAAAGTGTCCATGGCAAGAGCATGGCAGCGGCCTCCACAGACACATCTTTCCACTGCCTTCCCCTGCATGAGTTGCATGGTTCTCGCACGGGTTTGAATCTGCTGCAGCGAATGCATCAGTTGCTGAATCACAGGCGACGGATGTGAGAAAACTGAGACACAGGCTGCAGCCTGAACACCACACGATGCACAATCTGCATCGCCAGGACGTCCTGGAAGGAGGGACGGTCTGTTGTGAAGCGAAGCAGGAGCCACTTGTGAGTGTTGCCATATATCTTCTCGCACCGGCAAAAGCTGCACAGCCATGTTGGCTGCCTTGGTGCTAGGCTCGCAAGTGACAAGGTACTCGTCAAACTTAGCTTCCTCTGGCGAAGCCGATTGGGCAGCAAGAGGCGGCGCAACATTGAATGAGCCAGACCTGCCAGACATGAGCACCCATCCATAAAGCTGCCGAAATGCCAGTCTTTGTGTTCCGTTTCATTGGTGTGCGGGCACCGTTGCCGTTGCTGAGTGCTCAGTTCCGACGAAACACACGCAAAAAGACAAGGCTTCTTCAAGTCCTTAACCGAATCTGCAAGTCTGAAAATTGCAACGCAATCCAGCTGCAAAGCTTGACAAAGTTATGCAAGTTAACCAACATCACCATTGCTGTTACTGGTGCTGTGCCATCAGCACAAGTCCAAGCACTGACAGGCACTAGTAACACAGGTGTGACACAGGGTCGACATGAATGCTCCTGGATTCTGGACACGTTAATTGCAATGTGTTTTCCAGTTTTCACTCAGCAGCTGGCTATGCAGGAGACCGCTCAAGTTGAGTCTGGCAAGGTGCCAGGGCTGAGCCTCAAAAGCAGCGACCTCCACCTGGGGATACACTTCTTCCGCCAGCAGAGATGTGCGTGTTTCAATGCACTGTTGCCTAACTTTGCGCGCAAAGTCTCGTGCGGGGCTGTGTTCTTAAAAGCCCAGCGTGTGCTTGCTGTTTCCACTCGTTTCAGTGCCTGGGTAGCTCCCAATAGAGAGCAGCGTGCACTGTTGCTTCACTTTCTGCGCAGAGTCTCGTGCCGCGTGCAGATTTGACATGTCGGGCTGACGCGACTCTGAGCGCGAGCTTGGGGAGAGGCGACTTGATACGGCCATGGTGGACTGAACCCTAAACCGTACACCCTAAACCTTAAACCCCAGTCCCTAGTAGCTGGGAGAAGACCAAGATCTTGAGGAATTGAGCTCACCAAGATCCCACTAGAGCATGGCCGGAGTAGGGTTTAGGGTTTAGGGTTGGAGCATCAGTTTGGGAACATCTCCAGTACTCCAACCCTGAAGTTTCCAGCCCCAACCCATGTATTGACTCTAGGGAGAAGGTTGTATGATTCGCATCTCTGAAGCCAGCCAATCCGTGGGACTAGAACTGTCCACCTTGACCTTGACTGCGCCCCGCAGAACCTCGCAACCTTTCCTGCACACGCACAAGCATCGAGGCATTGGAACACTTTGGTCTTTGTTGGCTCTCAGCTCTATCCACATCTCGAGCGGGGACATGACAGAAAAATAGTTGCCTCATGAGAGTGCTCTCGAAACCAATCATGTCTTTTGACCTGCAACACTTGCAGGTCCATCCCGAAGCCTCCTGATGCTTCCGCGGAGGGTGTCCCGGAAGGAGCGTTTGCAAGTTTTTGGGATGGGCTGACGCTCTCGCGCAGCGTTCAACCTGCGGGCAAACCACAGACGGCTGCTGCGGTCACATCCGCAGAGCTTCCAGTCTGTGCTGCGTCACTCCGAGAGTTGCACAGCGGACTCTTCATTCTGAGGAACGGCACTCGCAGCGAAACTGCAAGAGGACTGGTCTATGCTTCGTCTGGTGCTCAGAAACTTCGCGCCGTTGCAGCACAATTGCGGCGCAGACATGCGTCCTTCCGAAGCACCAGATGAATGCATCACAGCTTTGCTCTGCTTGTTTCCACCAACCCGGCAATCCGATGGCCGCAGTCTTGCCGGACGAGGGCAGTGGCTCTCAGGACACGCACTTACTTGCCAGCTTGCATCGAGCACGCATCATGCACTCTTGACGCCACATCGAGGGTGCTTTGCTTTCACTGCTGCCTTCCAAGAGCTCCGGGATCCTCGCCGCTGATGCGAGTGGCACGCATTTCTGTTGCCTTTCTCCTGGAGCGAGGGCCGTGAGGGTGTTGGCTTCCCAGATCTCCGGCATCAGAGCTGTGGAGGCCAGCGGGTTTTGCAGAGTTGGCACTTTGGGTGACACCTGCAGCTGCTGCTACATTATGCACTGGGCGCATGCCTGCCGCAGATTCTTGGAAGGTGTCTGTGAAGGCATTGCGTGCTTCATGGAAAGTGTCGCCATGTCACGTTCCCAAACAGTCGCGGCCAGTGGCGGAGGGAAGAAGCGCATGATTCGCAAGCCCCTGCACGCAGCCGTTTTGCTACTTTCGAACTCTGTTCCAATCCTCCACCCAAAAACTTCATTGAATCTTTTTCTTTCCCGTTTGCAAGCCCAGCCGCACGGCACGAGCCAAGCAGCTTTGGCTTTTGGAGGGTGGAGGAGAAAGGGCTTTTGCACCGTCGAACAGTTGTGGAATGACGACGACGGACTCGGATCTTCTAGGTGAAGGCTTGAGCTGGACGCAAGACGTGCAAGGATGTTCCGAAGTGCACCCCAGCGCTTTTCAAAACGGCTGCAGCGGTTGTTTCGTCGGCGCTCCGCTGCAAGTCTTTTGCCGCTGCGCTGCGGTTTGAGTTGAGCTTCGGTCGACCACTTCGAGTCAGAGCTTGCAGGCTTCTAGGTTGCCTCTTTCAGCTCGAAGCTTGAGTCTGCTGACGCAAGCCTCCACATTCAGATGAGCAGTTTGAGATCGTTTCGTGCGCAATTTCCAAGGGGCAATCTCGTGAGCTTTCCGAGAGCGGGTGTAGTTAGGGGCCGATTCCATGAGACCAGATCTAAGACGACATCCTTGCCGCGATGCAACAGACTTCCAGTCAGGGCTGGGTCCGAATGGCGCACTCGGACACGGAGCTTGCTCTCAAGACTGGCGGCAAAAAGCATGTAAGGGATGTCAGGAAAAAGGTGCTCTCCATGGGACCTATTCTGTCAGAAGCGTGTGCAGAACTTGTTGAGCGATCCGAAAGCTGGCCGGCGTCCGCTCAGTCGTTACAAGGCATTCGACAGAATCCACTTATCGCTTCTCGACCACATCTCTGTTCACACGCGAAGCTCAAGGCTGAGATGCAGAGATCCCGGCATACCGGCATGGAGTCGGACGTCTCATCCCCAGTGCAGGCGAAGGAGAGAGCTCATGTCACGTGGACTTCCGCAACTTCAGAATTCAGGCGACTGGCCTGAAAGATGTTGCTTCAAGACTTTCTCGAGAGAGAGCTCGTGCTAAGAGAAGCATGTTGGGCTGGATTTGGACCGGTCATAGGCGCGTTCCTTGTCAGTCGGGTCACCCGGTCGTATTGTTCCCGCGATCGGCAAACACATCTCGTCTCCAACTTTGGTGGTGCAGCCGTTTTGCCAAGGGCCATGCAAGATGCACGCGGTGAAAGTCGT